ATCCAACCAAAATCTACTTCCTCGGCAGGGATTTTGTAAATGTGTCTGAATTACATTTTCTCAAGTTACCACAAAACTGAAACTTCCCATTTTTTTAGTATTTGGTTTGTCCCGGCCGTCTGTTCCAGTGGAAGATGTGAGACCACAGAAACTGCTCGGAAGTCAGTTCCTGCTAGAATACCTGGCAGCGACAAATAAAACTGAGCCACAGGAAAGAAAAGGGAAACAGGGGTTTGCAGGCATGGGTTTGCTTCCCAAGCAGAGTGCTCTGAATGCCTCCAACAAGACAGGAGCCGGAATTTCTCCTGACAGATGCATTCGCCAAGAAATGCTGACTCTGCAGAATTAAACCCATCTGTGGCACAGAGTTTATCAAGCCTGCTTGCTTCCTGCTGGCTCACCAGCCTTATCCTCCATTCCCAGGCTTTCTTGACAGCCAGTTCCACAGGGGCCCTCCCCCGCTGCCCCTCCTGCAGCTCATTTCCTAGAGGATTTAGCTATTTCCATGGGACCTACTGAATTTGGGACACTCCCAACATCAGGGGACTTATTTACAGTCTGAAGACTCATCCTGCCAAACAGCCCAAGCTGTCCCATGGCACTCCAGCTGCTGGGCTCTTCAAGCTTCCCAATCCTGTATGTCTAATCCAATTTAGGCTCTGGTCAACAGATGGGGGAGTTGGTTCTTTATGTGCTTGGATCGTGAGTGGGGGCTGTGCGTGCAGAGGGGTCAGACCCAAAGAGGGTGTTAAATGCAGGGGGATCCATGCAGGGAGCCCTGGATACAGGGAAAGTGTGAGTACAGGGTGGTTTGGAATGTGTGGAGGACGATGTGTGTGCGCTCAGAGGATCTGTGAGAGGAGATGCACGGAGGAGGGAAGGGAGGCAGGAAATCAGCAGGTCCTGTGGGTAGAGGGAGTCAGAGAATCACGGAATCCCAGAACAAGCTGAGTTGGAAGGATTGGACTTGGATGAGTGGGGTCCAGCATAGAGGCAGCCCCCTAATCCCGCCTCCTCCTTCAGGGAAACAGAGGGGATCTGAGAGGGGGCTGGAAAAAGCCTCTTGAGGCACGGCTAGGGGAAAGCTGGCTCCGTTCCCCCTCGGCCAGCCGCTACCATGCCCACACCTTCTTTCCCAGCGCCCCTTGCCCGGCCGCGGTTCTCCCTAGCGGGTAAACGAAACCAGGCGTGGCCGGGGAGGCGGAGGGGGGAGGCGGCGCGGGGGCCGGGCCCGGCCCGCGGGGCGGAGCCGCCGCCCTTTCCCCGCCCCCGCCGCCCGGCCCTGCCGCCAGCCCCGAGCTCCTCCAGCCGCCCTGCGCATCTCTCCGGCCACATCGACCGCACCATGAAGGCGCTCCTGCTCGCTGTGCTGGCCGCGGTGCTGTGCGTGGAGAGAGGTAAGGGAAAGGATGCTCCCGCCACCATCGCCTGCCCCGCGGGTCCCCCGGTCCTTCTTCAGCCCTGCGTTAGAGAGCAAATTGGGGGCTGGGGGAGTGATGCGTGTGGCAGGGTAGGCTGTGGAAGTTGGAGGTTTGTAGGGGATATGAGGGTGTAAAAGGGGTTGGGGGCACAGCGCTGAGCCGCGCTGTGTTTCGGAGCGGGATGCGGGGGTGTCTTGCCTCGCAGCAATGTCCCTCCTGAAGCAGGAACTTCAGGGCTGCCCCGCCTGTATGAAAAGGTGAGCATCTCCTGCTGTGCGGGTGGATAACCTGGAGCTTTTCCCAGTTGCAGCTGGAACAAAGAGCAGGGCCGGCTCCGCTCCCCCTTTTTCGGCGCAGCCAGCCGGGATAACGGCGCTGGGATGGGCTGAGATGCGGCCGAGAGGAAGGGGGGTGGTGGGGAGAGGCAGCCCAGCCCCGGCAATGGCTGATGGAGCAAAGTCAGGGCAGAGCCACTCGTGATTCTGGCTCCTGCTGCCCCCTCCGAGCATCCTTCGGGGCCGCCTGCGGAGCGCGGTGACCCCTAAGGGACAATGCCCGGGTGGCGCATCCTGGGGCAGCCGCCGAGCCTGGGGAGAACGCGGTTCCTGTTGCTGCGTGTTCAAACTGCCAAGTTGCCCAAGTCGCAGGTCCTGCCATCCCCTCCTTCCCCATCGACTCCATTCCTCACTATCCAAACTCCTTGGGGCCGTGGAAGCCGCGTATTGTTCCCATATGTCGCTGCTTGGAGAAGCCAAACAAAGAGGCAAACGGGAGAGTTCTGGGCTCTCCCAGCCCCTGCTCGGCAAACAGGGCTCCTTCTTCTTTTCTGAGGGCACCGCTGAGATGGAAACCGGCTGTTTGCTGCCCTTTCCAATTCCCCTTCCCAGTGGGATCCGGGAAGCAACTGGCGATTGAAGCGCTGGGAATCGGGCAGAGCCCAGCTGGCTTGTGCTCAGTTCCAGCGGGCAAGGCCAAGGCGATGAAGGGTTTCACCCCCCGAAAAAAAAACAACACAACCCTTTCAGCTTTAAAAGTAAGTTTTTATCCAGGCAAAAGGGTTTGCTGCAGGTGATTTTACCCCCAAACACTTCCAAGCATATTTTGGGGGGGATTTCACAGAAGAGCTTTACCTCCTGCTCAAAGACCTTGCCTCTGGATCTTGATAAGGATTTTGCCTAAGAGAATGGAAAAGCAACATCGGGGCTGAATGGAAAAACTGCCGAAGCATTTTCCTGGTGCTAACGAGCTCCAAAGTGGGCTTTTAAAGGCCTTTTTTCCCCCCCTGTCTTTGCAACAATTATTCAACCGTAATCTGTAGGAATTCCCCCAAAAGCCCCGCTCTGTTTTGGGAGCTCTTTGTTCCTCTGGGCACCCGAGCAGCAAACAAATAAACATGAATTCTTCCACTGGTGAAAACAAGGCTTCTCTTCTGCATTGTGCAGTCTTGTGATTTTTTTTTCTCCCTTTTTTCCTTTCTTGTAACCTTGAGCTCCAACTCTTTGCTCAGTCTACAGCTGCATGAAATTAATTCTGCCACCCCTCTTGTGCCTTTTGTCTAAACCACTCAGCCTGTTTGTGCTCTCATAACTCTGCAGTGGGTGTTTTTTTTTTTTTGGGGCAGAAAGTGGCTGAATATTTCCTTTCTTAAACTGCCTCTCCTGGAAGGATTTTTTTTTTTTTTTCCTGTTGTGACAAGGGGTAATGGGTAGGTGTGCCAATGAAAAACATGGGGACAGGTAGGACATGCAGTGGAAGGAGCAGGGATTGAGTCACATGGCAGAGAATTTCATGCCCAACAGCACTTTTATGTCATGTCCAAAGATTTCTGGTGTGTTTGTTCCTGGAGCCTTTAATGAACAGCATTGCACCACTCATGCCTTCAGCGCAGTGAGCAAATGCATATGGGGACATCTGTCCTGCCAGAATGCCCACAGGAAGGCTGTAATCCACTTCATTCCTGATCGCTGAAGATTCCTGGGATGAGTCAATTCGCCTCCTCGGGGTGGCTGTGAGGTAAAAAGAGTTTGGGACAGGTCACCTGAGAACTGAACTGGGCTTCACTCCGAGCTCCCACATGGAGTTGTGGCCAGCCCGGTGACCCAGTGGCTGGTCCCTAAACGCAGAGATCCACTGAGGAATCTCTCCGGGAGGTTTTGACTCAGCTGGTGGCCCTTTAATCCCGGTGCTGTGGTTGCAGTGGCTGCGTTGGTGTGCTCAGGTAACCCGGGTTTGTTTAGGAACCGTGTCCAGAGTTACGATTCTTGAAGGAGGCGTGAGCCAATCCAGGAAATTCCTGCTTGGGTGGGGGGGTTGTGGTCTTGGTTTCCACTCCATAGCAGAGATTTGGCTGCTCTGCTGTGACATCCAGGATCTCCCACTAACCCACTTTAATCTGTTTCTCTGAGATTATATTTTGTTTCCTGTCCTCAGCTGCGGCTGCTCAAAAGTCATTCCTCTGAGAGCAATTGTTTTTTTTTTTCCCTCATTCTTGCAGAAGCCTTTTATTTTCCTGACAGAAACAGGAATGAGGAGAGCAGTCCTATGGCAGAGTGGGACAGATGCTGAGCAATATTTGTCCAAATAATAATTCTTCAAACTATCCATGTCAGTAACTGCTGTGCCTCAAGAGAGCTCTCCCAGGGCTTCCCCCGCTTCACTTCCTTAGGAAAATATTCCAAAGGGGTCTACAAGAAAGCTGGAGAGGGATTTTTTTTTACAGGGCAAGAACAAGCAGGAATGGCTTCAAGCTGAAAGAGTTTAAGTTTGGGTTTAGGTTGGATATTGGGAAGGAATTCTTCCCTGTGAGGGTGGGGAGACCCTGGCTCAGGTTTCCCAGAGAAGCTGTGGCTGCCTCATCCCTGGAAGTGTCCAAGGAAGTGTCCCCAGGTTGGATGGGGCTGGGAGCACCCTGGGGTGGTGGAAAGTATCTCTATCCATGGCTGAATGATCCTTCCAGCCCAAACCATTCCGTGATTTTTGACAATCCATTTGTGGTGGGGCTGAAGGAGGTGGGAGCAGGGACGGGGCTGCCTCACACTTCCCACCCTCAATCAGCCCCCGCTCTGTTTTGCATCCCATAAATACACAAAGGGAAAGGCTGTGCCTTGTGGAAGGGCTGCCTGGGAGCTCCAAAATCCCGAGTCCGTGGAAGATTGGGAACAGATCTGTCAGCATATGTAGGTCAACAACTGCAGCGTGGATGTGATGCTCTTGTATGTAAAATACAGAGATCAAAGTGGCCGTGGCCTTGCTGAGTCTCTGGTCCAGGCTGTCTCCACAACCATTTCCCACCCCAAATCCTGTTTTCCAATCATTCCTCTCTGTGAGGGATGAGGGATGGGAGCCAGCTATTCCATCCTGCTGCTGTAGGATAAGCCTTAAATGGCCTCAAGTTGCTCCAGGGTTAGTTTGGAAATGAGGAAAAATTTCTTCACTGGTCAGATTTTGAAACGGTGGTGGGATCACCATTTCTGGAAATGTTGAAGAAATGGTGCAGCTGTGTTGCCTAAAGACTTGGTTTAGTGGTGGAATTTGGCAGTGCTGGGTTAATAATTGGATTCAGAGATCTTGGAGGTCTTTTCCTGAAATGATTCCACAATTCTATAATTTTAGGGGACCTGCTGGCCTTGCAGGTCTTGAGCTTTCTGCAGCTGAAAAATCATTTCCACCATGTGCTCCAGCTCAAGCATGGCCTGATCGTGATGCCCAAAACCAGGTCATGGAAAATTGGAACTCGTGGTCACACCTGAGCATTTCCCATCAGTGTCACAGAATCATAAAATCAGAATGGTTTTGCTTGGAAGGGACCTAAAGATCATTCTAACAGTTCTAACACCATGTGGTGGCTGAGCTGAACAAGCCCAAACCTCAAAAATTCACCTCTGGAGTTTGGTTTAAAGTTGGCAACTGTAGCTCGGACACATTCTTAGTGCAAACAGGGCAGTGACAGAAAGTACCAGGCTGTGGTTGTATCAGCTTTAGCTGATAAGAGCTTGAAATACCTCTCTGAGGCTTGAACCCTTTGCTTGGCCGATTTTTTTGTGGGAAAAAAAAAAAAAAAAAAATCCCATATTGCAGGCTGATAAAACCGAAACAACAAGTGTGGCTGTGGGCAGACGCGAGACGTCCCGTGGGACAGAGGTGGGGACCTCCAAGTGAGGACATCTTCCCACCAGCCCCTAAATGAGGTTTGCCTTTCTCTTGCAGCCCACACGCTCGTCTGCTTTTCCTGCTCGGATGCCTCCTCCAACTGGGCCTGCCTGACGCCTGTCAAGTGTGGGGAGAATGAAAACCACTGCGTGACGACGTACGTCGGAGTGGGACTCGGTGAGTGGTGACAGCACCTCCTCCTGCCCCTCCTGGCTCCTCTCCCGGGTCACCCACTGAGCTACGGCGAGGTTTTGCCTCCTTCTGGCAAAAAAAAAAGAAAAAAAGGGGAAAGTTCTGCTTAGCAACTGAGTGTCCGACCATCCCACGGGAATTCTGAGGAGGGACGCGCTGCCAGGAGGAGTCACGTTAAAGCCCACGTGCCTGCACCGATGCCCGCGAGTCCGGGGGGAATTTCAGGCTGGGGGCGGGGAGTTTGCTGATGAATAAGTGAAAGCTTGGAGGATGCTGCAGGCTGCCTTGTGTGGGAAGCTCCAGGGTTGCTGTTCCTGCTGATTTTTTGCCTCGTGTTTGGGTTCTTTGTCCCCGAGTCCCACCTTTGCTTCGCTTTCTGTGGACGAGGCGGGAAGGGAGGGTTGCGGGTTTCCTTCCTGAGTGCCTGGAGAGATTTGGGGGGTTCTTTCCTTCCCAGCCGCTGCTCCGAGGGAGGCAGGATGCTCTGGCAGATCTCCTGGAGCCTTTGCAGGAACCAGAGCCCATGCTGGCTCTCCCTGGCAGGAGGAGGGGGAATTTCATACCTGAGTCTGCAACGTGGGTGGGTCAGATGTGCACAAACAGAGACCGGGAGTGTTTATAAACTTCCCTTTGCAGCCCAGTGCTAATGGTTTCCTCTTTCCTGCCTCTTAATGTGGGCTGTGCCTCTCTGGAAATGCAGACTCGCCTCCCAAGTGTCTCCCTTGAGGAGCCCCAGAGTGAAGCTCAAGAGGGATTTTTGGGATTCCTGGCAGGAGCCGTGTCGGTTGAACATTGACCGATCCAAAGGGGCGTCCCTGGGGCGTTGTGCAGTCTCTGGGGTGTTTGTGTGAGCTTATCACAGGTGATCCTTGATAAGATGGGCTGGCTGGGATTCCTGTCTCTGAGATCCACTTCATCCTCTCCGGGGCACTTCATCCTCCCTGTGCCGCCTGCACCGCCCCGGCTTTTCCAGCGCTCTTAATTCCTTTGCAGAGCAGGCAATCAGAAACCCAAAAAAAAAAAAAAAAACCCGTTCCAAACCTGCCTCTTTTCCTTCCTTTCCAAATCCAGGCGGCAAATCCGGCCAGTCCATCTCGAAGGGATGCTCTCCCATCTGCCCCAGCGCCGGGATCAACCTGGGAATTGCGGCCGCCTCCGTCTACTGCTGCGACTCCTTCCTCTGCAACATCAGCGGCTCCAGCAGCGTCCGAGCCAGCTACGCCATCCTGGCCTTGGGAATTCTCATCAGCTTCATCTACGTCCTCCAGGCTCGCCAGTGATGGGGCTGCCTGAGGAAGAGCCGCCTCCCACGGGTCTCGTTAGCCAATATCTTCTCTGTTGCTGTCTGCAAGGAGATCCTCTACTTCTCAGCAGGCTTCCAAGGTGATTGTTTCCCAGACTTTTTTTGCTCTTCCAAGCGTTGGAGAGCTGGGCGGTTTGGCCGAGCTGTTCTCCTCCTCCTGTGGACGTCTCCCGCTGCACTCTCGCTCCTCCTTGGCCAAGGTGGATGATTTTGGAAGGGTTTCTGCTTTTTTCTACCTATTAATAATTCCTCCCCCCCACCCCCATAATTTCTAAATTAAACCAGGCTGGGACTCGCTGAGAACAGATTCACCCCAAGCACCACCAGGTCTGCTCCAGCACATGGGTGGCAGGAATGCAGGATCCAAAGGGAGACACGTTCCTGGCCCCTCGCAGCTGCAGTCTCTTTTTATAAAATAGTCTCGTTTCTTCTGATCCTGGGCTGACTTTTCTGGAAAACCAATGCCGTGTACCTTGTCCTTCCGAGTTCTGTAAGTGCCAGACCTGAATAAACTTGCTCCTGATGTTACCTGAGATGGGACGTGTGTGTGTTTCCTTGCTCCAGGGATTAGGAACTCTTTTATGGAAAATCCCAATATTGGTACCCAGCACGAGGGTCCCTCACCCTCTCGAGCAGCTTTTGGGTGCTTCACCTCTACATCCTTCCCAGTTGTGAGCAGCAAATCCATCTCCTCCCTGTTGCTGTCCTTCCTGATAAAAGCCTCCGGGCCAGCTTGTTCCACCTCCCTTGGGAATGACTTTTTCCAGGTGCATTTGAGTGATAAATGCCAGGTTTTGGGGTCCGAGTCAACTCTACCGGAGCAATTGCCTTGGCAGGAGGGCTCTGAAATGAATCTGCATTTTACAAAGACCTGGTGCCTCAGTTTCCCCACTTTGGACTTGTCATGGTGACCACCACAATGGCGATACCTGAATGACCATGGGCCATGGGTCTGAAAAACTTGGTGAAGTCGGAGGAGAAGATGTCAATACCCCAGATCTTTAGGTCCAACCTTCAATGCCTGATGGTGCCACAGACTGCTGGAGGTGACTGCACCACCCAACCTTCCACATCTGCTGTCCCTCAGCTCCCAGGATCTTCCCAGGTGTTTTGGCAAGGTTTTTCCTAGAAGTTCTCACCTGTCCCATGGGAGAGGTGTCCTCCTGCCCTCTGTGTCTTCTGCCCTGCCTACTCTGCTTGCCTGTGGACCTGCTCACCACAAACCAAGCCAAAATTCAGCCTTAAACTTCCAAGTTCAAGCTTTTTGCCACTTCCACTGATTGATCAGAGGTGCACTGGGCGGTTTTTTTTCTAATTCTAGCAACAAAACCCAGGTGTTGGCACATTTTAGCCATGCCTTGTACCTGCTTCTCCTATTCTGTGTCACAACCCAAACAAAAGCTCCACAAACCTTCAGTTCCACCTCTGCCCCCTCTTCAGGCAGTGATAAATGAAAGGTGGTTGCAGCTGTACAGAAATACTGGTAACAAAATGGTTTTAGGGTATTTCCCCCCCTCCCTGTTTTAATTAAAGTGACAGAGGTGTTAATGACAGCTTTTCCAGCAGGAGGGATGGGTCAGTGGGATGTGAGCTGCAATTTAGTGGCTAATTTGGGAAGAATGCATCACTTGTGCTGGTCCTTGGATGTGCCTTCCTTTGGATAATGCATCCTCCTGGGACCTTGGGGTCTGGAGCGCCCCACAAACCTCTGCTATGCACGTGGGGCACAGGGAAAATTGGGGAAAAACTCCCTAAACTGAGATGTACATTCCTCAGCTTCCCTGTGCCTCAGCCTTCCTCCCAAAAAGGGTTCAAAACCTCATTTTTTGGGTCCATTTGTCCTTCAGCACTGGCTGTGACACCGAGGTGTCACCCAGAGCACTCTGCATTGAATTTAGGGGGCTCTGTCTTTTTTGGCCATCTGGAAAAAGGTTTTGGGGCTGGTCTGGGACTTGATTACCTTTTAGAACTGAACTTCAAAGCCATCTGCTGTGTCCTGATGTCCATCTGTGCTTTTATGAGGATCCTGACGATGCCACACTGGACAACCCCATGGGCTGAAGACCTGGTTGTCTCCTCCAAGGGCCATTTCCTTCCTTTCTCGGGGTTCCTTGGCCAGTGCCAAGGATTTGGTTGTTCCAGGGAGCAAAAACTCATGGGAGGAGCACCCAGAGGCTGCTTATCCCAATAAATCACAAATTATATTAATGGAACTGCCAGGGGAGCGAGCTGAGGGTTGGTTGGATAAATTTCACCAGGAGATTTGTTTTTCTTCCTCGCTCTCTTTTTGTCTCTTCCTTCCCATGTACTCTAATCTAGAATGTGGAAAAAGGGATATTTTCAGTATTTCCTTTCCTGGCAAAAAGACATTTGGATAGATCCATGTGTGTTTGAGAGAGGAAGGGGGTGACAGCTTGTCACAGTTGAATCCCAAGCATTTTCTCACCAATCATGCCAACTCTCACTATTCCTGGTCCTACTCTAGGTTTATTTTTTGCCTCCAAATCCCCAGAATGACAAATCTGGTGAGAACCTCATCTGTTGTAAAACCCAGGCCTAAAATCGGGCAGGTGAAGTAATTAAGATCATTAATAATAAGACAATAAGTAGGAAAAGCAATGGGATTTATGAAGTGTTCAGACTGGTGGGTGGGTTGTTGATCCAGATGCTGGATTTGGAATTTGAGGGCTGTGGTGGGACAGCCCTGAAGTGCTTTGGATGTGTTTCTGTGGATTGTGGAAATTAAGAGATCAAAATCTGAGCAGAAAACCCAGACGATCAGCTGTTCTGACAATGCAAGAGGTTTTGAGGGGAGGAGGTTTGGCTCCCTAGGAGGATGAAACACCCTGGAGGAGTTTGTACTGGAAATTAAGGGCTAAAGAGAAATGCCTGCCCACTTTGGAGCGTGTTCCTGAGAAAATGGTTTCAGTGCTTCCATCCTGGAAATGGCTGTAATCCACCAGCAGCTGCTGCCATCACCCACCACCCCACCAAGGGCTCGAATTTTTGTGGATTGTCTAAAAATGCTCAAAACCCACTGTGGCATCAGCACTTCCCACCCAGGACCTGGGGGTTTGCTGTTTGCCCAACAAAAGGACTTTAAAATGAGCACAGTTCTTCCAGCTGGTTTTGAGAA